ATTACGGATTGGGTGTCCCATATCCAGAATTCTAAAATCAAAAATACTCCAAAATCCAAAAACTGTCCACTTGTGTGGCTGAGATAGCGATGTCTGTGCTTTCTGTGCAAACAAACATTGTTTCATGCCCAAAATTACTGTTTTTACTTGAATCTAATGCTCATCTTTTTTGACTAAATTACCTTTCCAAAGTTAGGGTGCACATTAGAGTTGCATAATATGGTAAATACCTTTTGGGGTTTCGGGGTTTTGAAAAATGAGGTGCGCATTAGATTCGATGGCAAATTAGAATCAAGTAGATATGGGTATTTAAAATATTGTGCAAAAATTCCTTCAGACAATATATATATATATATATATATATATATATATATATATATATATATATCTGTTATGAATGAAGGCTGAATGAATTTGCTGTTTATTATGAGATTGCATCTCCAAGATAACTCATTGTATATGAATCTGCAAATACAGATATTCCAAAATCAAACACTTTTAATCCCAAGCATTTAATCCAAGCTCAACGAGTATTTTCATAGAAAAGTGTGAAATTTTAATAGAAAACTGTGAAAGTAAATAAGTGAAACTGAAACCAAACTTTTACACTGGTCCTCGCATGAATAAATTACATTGATCTCAATATAAATTACACTGGCACAGAAGTGAAGAATGAAACTGAATTAACAATAATCATCTAGCCAGTTTGGTCAGTAGATATAAGTTTATTTTCCATGCTTTCCAGAGTACTGAACACAGGACTATGTTCAGAGTATTGGAATACACTGCATCATCCCAAATGCTTAAGTACAGTATTTGTTTTCATTGAAGTAGTGAAGCTGTATCTGGCCACTATTCTACAAACCCTCAGGTAGTGAACAACATCACATAACTAAACATCCCTTCCTTTCTCACTATCTCATACATATACATCCATACAGTCAGCAAAAATTCCTATGTACAAAAAACAGCTCATCAGAGAAGAAGCTAAGCTTGATTCTCCCTGTTGTTCACTTTTGTATGCAAAGGCAATAAATTCCTATGTTAAAATATTAAATCATGCAAGTTCCCCCAACAGTCTGAAGGGACAAGGAGATCTAGTTTTCAATGGCTTAACAGCAGATGACAGTTCTCTCAATAGAAGGCTGTGCTATTCCTATCCCAAAATCACATGCCCTCAAAACACATTATTCTGCTATGTTATAACTAACTGATTCAATAAGGGATACTCCCTTAAATAGTTAGACCCTTAAAACTTAGTAATATCAATCTTGTAGGTAAACAGTTACATGCTTACATGTATAAACAAAAAGATTTCAAGCCATGCCTAACATTTGTACATTCCAAAAAGGACAAAGAGAGGAAGGGAAATTATATTTTCTTTTTTTTCTCCCCTTGATGTAGAAAAACCATCTTCGATTTCCAGAAAAACTGGAATATATAAAGAAACACAAAGCAGACATTGAGAAAATGTCACATTTTCCAAACACGGGCAATAAAAGAATTGCATGCCAAACTGCAGTGAAAAATGCTGGTTTTTCTGTCCATTGCTCACCCAAACTGACAAAAAATTGAGAGAAGGGGCAAATTCTCCAGTTCACACTCTTCCTGTAGCAACAAGAGGATGTGTGTATGATTACAGAATTAGGCAGTCTTAACAGGAGCTTCTGAAGGCTTCAAGTATAATGTAACTAATGTTTTAATAAAGCTATAGGCAATCACTGGGTTATGGACAAGATAGGTTCTGTAGGTTTGTTCTTAATTGAATTTGTATGTAAGTCAGAATAGGTACATATTTTAAGTGTCGCTCTAGCCAGTTTTAAAGTTTTGAATGCATAAGGAAGGATTAATACCTGTGTTATTTTTTTTCGCTGCCTGTTCAGAAGATTTCACCTCACTGTTGATGTGACAACAGTATTTTGAAAAAAAAAATGGTTGGCATGAAAACAAGGATTGGCGCTAAAGCTTCATGATAACTCTTCCAGAAGTGAATTTCCCTTCCTAGGGGTAGATGTCCTCTCACTTTCCGTTGTCTCACAGCCATTCCTAACTTGAGTCGGATGTCAATCGTATGCCAGTAACTCGGGGACTGCCTGTACACCTTTACACCCTACAAACATTTCTCCACACGATTATTCCCGTGCTAATAGGCTATACATATTTCTCCCTATGTATTTCATCCTCTGTTACATATATAACATACTTCCCAAGGGAATAGTGATTCCTCGTATTGTAGAACCCTTCATACACATCCATATGACAATGTACATAACAAGGAATCATACAATTATAGACCTAGAGGTGACCACAAAGACCAACTAATCCAATAGTGCAGACTACAGCCACACTATGGAAAGAACTTATTCAGCATATAGAGGCAAATGTTCACTTATCTAAATGTAAAAGTATAAATGTGAAAGTTCGTGTTTCTTCCCCCTTGTTAACTTAGTCAGATATTCTTATCATTTAATTGTCCTTCTGTCTGAAAGTATACTGTAAGTAAAGAGGAAAATGAGAGAAAGTGTGTATGTGCAGGATTTAATATATGGTAAGGATGAATGTTCTCGAATTCTTTTGACAGGATGACTCTATAAATAACATACAGTAGATTTATGCTGAAGATACAGGATATTTTCCAGTTCCTTGAGGGTTCGCCTCAATTAGTTCTTCTGTTTAACTCTGAGATTTTTGACAGAAATCAATGAAGATGGAACTAATTCAGGTGTTGATATACCAGTCACAATAAATATTTATTCTGAAGAAGTAAATTTATAAACTTATCAGATAACCGGGAGTGAGATGTACAGGGCATGTGCTGTGCAAAAAAGCATCCCACATGGCCCAGTGTACTATTTAAAGTTTCATGACCTATGTACCATTCCCTCTGTGTACTGCATTCACATGAAGTGATCCATGGCCCATAAGGAAGCTCCATTAGAAATTATAGGAAGCTGACACAAGATGCCAAGATACAAGGAATCTTGTGTTTTCTAAAAATTGAATGTCTTTTATAAACTGATCATTTTCAGTGAGATTATTTACAGGAATCAGAACCAACTATTTATTTACAGATTATTTGCTTAATTTCAGTTTGTGAACTGACCCTTTATCTAGTAAATGATGTCTGTAACACAGGGGACAAATTTTGGAGAAAATGCAGCAACAAGTGAAAGAGTCAAAGTAGCACACGTCATGTCATATCTTCAATAAGCTTAAAATATATGTATGTTTTATTTCTATTGAAATAACTCCATTTGGGTGGGGAAAACTGTGATTGCAATCACGTTTTGACTTTTGACAGTTCTTGCTTAATCTTCAAGAGTCTCACTGAAAATAATCAAAGCAGTGAATTTTGAGCAAATCATTTAGGTCCTGTAAACCTGAAGATGCATTACAGAATTTAAACCTGTGAACTGTCTGAAATTCATCTGCTTTAAAATTCTAGCACACTCTTGGGTACATTTTGTCATCTCCATATTTTGTATGGAAACATGCTCGGAATTGCAGGTTATTATCTAGCAGAGTTACACAGTTAGGCATAAATAATGGCATTAGAGTTTTCTCGTATGTGTATGGCAAGCCCCTCAACACCCTTTTTTAAAGACAAGAATAGTTTTTTAAGGCTTTGAAGAGGCTGAATGCAGGAGATTTGTAGAAGAGCAAACAAAATCATTAGCACGTTCACAAATCTACTGGGTACTAAAAGCATAGTCAGACCTAGTACGTGAAACCTCTGAAGCATTAAGCACTTGAACACCAATGTAACCGAATGTCCTTCCTGTTACACCATCTATATCTTTTATTATCAGATACAATCTTTTATTATCAGATTTTATTTAAAAGAGATGCTGTTCAGTTTGGGTGAGATTTAACATTTCTGCGTAAGACACACTTTGATCTGCCCCCTGATGAGTGAACATTCTCCTTTGCTGCTAACCCAACTAATGAAGGGATAAAATTAGCTTTTATCCCTACCACTTTCTTTACCAAAAAAAATTACTAATCAGCTGTCTTCACTAATCAGTCATCTGGCTAATGACCTTTTGCCTCCAAACACTAACATTTCTGAATGAATTCGGGAGGGAGCAGTGAGAGCAGAAAGGAGGGAGACCCAGACTAGTCCTTCATAATGGGTCTTACTCTATCACCTGGTATCAGAAACTAAAAGGTTAAATGCACAAGCACAAACCCCACTAGATGATAAATCTATAATCAAAAGGCTGAGGTTGACACCTCAAGATGTGCTTCATTACTACCCGGCTACACGATTTCCCCTCTTTTAACTAGAAACAGATGGAGGGGAAATTGTTTCAAACTCCTTCCTTCTTTGCTAGTACACAAATCTTTTTGCACATCTGTACCCAAGAACCACTTATTTATTAATCCTTTATTAATTTCTAATCAAGTATTCCAAAGTTACAAATTATCCATAGTCTTTCCACTCTTGCTGTATATTGTTGCTACAAATACTGATGGCCACATCTGCTGCCTTCCATTCCAACCTTTGAGAAACTATTGTTCGAAGTAACACTATATACAAAGAAGATTTTTCTAATGTTTTGCAAAGGATCTGATCAGACTGTTCTTTAACATTAAATTCATTCCTTTCTATTCCATTCCCAGTCCAAACATATTATTTCTTCTGTAACAAATTACCACTAGCAACAGTTAGCATACCCTTCTTTATAGAGGCACCAGAGAACTCCTTTGGTTAGGCACATGGGAATTTACAGAACTTACTCAACAGAATATTAAGATAGGACATATTCAGAATAACTTTATAGGTCCTGTGTCTTGTGTAAAATGGCATTTTAATGGCATAATATAACAGTGTACAGTACTTTTTCCCTTCCCAACCCACTTATTTGCCCTTTTCTACAGAACAATATTTTAAAACCTCATCAGAAATAAATTCTTTCTTAAAGTAATTTTAAAATAAAATGGGAGATGACAGCTTGCAGATCTTTCTACTTTTAAAAAATCAACTTGTAAATACTTACGGTAAGGAGGATCCATATAACCATTCCTGGGATCCATGGCAAAGACTGTCCCACGATAAGGTAATGAAGGCTCAGGAAGATGAGATATAGATCCATGGATCTCCTTCTTGATTAATGAGGCCCTTTCCTCGCTAGATGTCGAAGGCTCTTCACTGATTTTACCGAGGCCTTGCCCACCCTGTGGCTGCATTGTGATTGCGTTTCTTCTCTCTCTGTGATAGGTCTGTCCAGGACTTTCATCCTCTAGGGAGGAAAAAGAGTGGGGAGAGAAAGAGAAAGAAAGAGATTTGGGAGGGGAGAGAGGAGGAAAAGAAACTTTTAACTCAGCTGTCACAAATAATCAAAGTTTTCTATAAAAGTTTCCTCTGTCTTATAAGCATGAGCAAAGCCACAAGGCAAGTTTAAAGGAGCGGGGACATGTGCAACAATGAAAGATGTTCCTAGAAACAAGTTAAAGGGGGAGGGGAAGGGAGAACCTAAGCCATTCAGTGTGAGGGTCTGTTGGGCAGTAGATCATCATCACCCCATTCATTGGTGCATTTACCAGAGGGGCCATTAATCGTACAGGAATGGACACCAGCTTGCTATTTCTTTCCACTGGGACAAGAAGGCTACGAAGCGTTAGCTGTTTGACTGGGAAGCAAAAAACAATTTGTCACAAATCGCAGAAGATGAACCCTGCTAGAAGAAACTAAATCAAACCTAGCCACCCAGTGGTGCTTTGTACTGGCCAGCACACTATTTTGCACCCTCAGGGATGTAGTGTTGGGAAAAGAAAGCTCCTTGGCATTAAAGGGAGATATCAGTTATTCACATTAAGGAAGGAGGGGAGGGGATGCTTGTCTCCAAGCATATGTGAAGCCATGTGCTGCACTACATGGGTGCAGAGAAGTACAGGAATCAGAACCAACTATTTAAAACATCATATCATTTTGTGGGCTTGCATGCCTAGTATGACAAACATAGGCTAACACTCAGTTCTACTTGACTTTTAAAACTCTAGCCATGGTCCTACGACACACTGAAACATGCCTTCTATGTTGTGTTAATACAATCCTTGAAAGAAGGGTGTATTATGGCAGGGAGGAGAAGAAGTTACTATCCAGAGTTTGAAAAGTATAATTCATTTCATCATAACTATATAAACATAAGCGTCAGAGTGAGTAGTTTGTTGATTAGGATTTCCTCATATGTATAATATCAATGCAATGTTTTAATGCTTATGTAGTTTAGTTAAAATGAATTTGAGATTCTTTTTAAAATATATGTACTGTGTGTGTGTGTGTGTGTGTGTAGGTACATTATTTTTCAATAGATGAACATTTCCTCATTTTTAGAATCTAAAAACCAAACCTATCTTAAGAGTTTGTCAAGCAAAATTCTTGTTACACAACTGGAGATTTTTTAAATGAAGTTTTCTCATAATTTGAACAAATTGAGTTTCCCTATCCTCAGTTCTCGGACGTGGAAGTGTTTGGATTGGGGGGGGGGGGGTTGAGAAACCTATATTTCTGTTTCATATATATCCTAAACAAATAGCCTAAAGGTAATTTTATACAACATTTTAAAACAAATGTGTACACACTGAACCATCAGAAAGCAAAGGTATCACTATTTCTGTCACTCATTTCAGCTTTTGAAATATTTCACAGTTATGGATAAGTGATGTTCAATCTGTATAACAAAGTTTTAAAATCAAATCTGTTCCTGTGTATAGATACCTTAACCACATCAATAAAGAGTCTCCGAGACACTTGTTTTTTATGTATGAATGAGGTGAATATAATGAGCACCAACACAGTGGTATCTAAGCTACTCTGTTCCTAAATCATCTTGTGACAGCCAGCCACTACAGATGCAAATACAGTATTTTCTGGGATCAAATCAGATACCCAGTTCAGCTGCTATAGTCTCAATTGCCCACTAAGCTGACCAAAGAATGGTACGAACCATCTAGGAGTGAGGAGGCAAGCCCTAGGAAGGGGTACACTTGAAAACTATGATACTACTCTACAAGAAAGAAGCAGGCAACTCCAACTGCAGTTTTACTTCACTTCTTCCTGGAGTACACCCATGGAAATACTAATGGAAACAGGCAGTTAGGCATAGTAACAACATCTCTGTAGAATATTGCCCTGACATATGTAAACATCTGAAGCAAAAGTTGCTTTTTAGTCTCTTGCTGATTTTTTTTCAGCACATTTTAAAAATAATACCTGGACTTTTTAAGAGTAGATAATAAATTATACTTTAGGAAAAAATGCCTAACACACTGAAATTACATGCCAACAATATACAACCAACATGTTCTGTCAAATCAGAGAGCTGTGATTGACTGTAATTCCAGGGTAAATATGACTGCTTTGTTGTTTTTATTATTGTTGTCATTGTTTATTTACTTATTTAGTACCATCAATGCAAATGACACTTCACAGAATACTCTGTAGTGAAGAAGGAACTGATCCTAATTTTCTTTTTTTAAAATGTGAAACAGTAACCTAAGATGGTCTGAAAGTTATTTCAAAGTTATCTGTAATAGCCAACCTATCAAAGGTAAAGTCTTCTTTTCAGAAGATTAAAAACATATTAACAAGAAAAATGGTTCAGACATATCTACAAAACAAAACTAAATGCCCAAGGACATTTAAGCATGAAACGTTAGCAGCAGAAAATTCAGTTTGTATCTTTTTTAAAAGTTTTGGTAATTGGAGAGTGATAGAATATCTCTGTATCATTTGTGAACATTCACTATAAAATATTAATACTAAAAAAGAAGCAGAAATGAAAACTTAAAATTGAAAATAATGCGCATTGTCTGCTATTAAAAGAACTAGAAATTTGTTTTTACATGAGACTAATACTGCATTTATTTCAATGTTTTAATATAAACCATTAGATTTATTTAAAATTTGTTTCATGCTGGAGCACTCTAAGGCAACAAAAAGACAAAGCATTTATCCTTCAAATCTTACCATTACTTTGCATTGATTGTAATAGTAATACTACATAAACATAAATGCAGGCTTTAAAAAATTCCATTACAGTTATATGAAAAGATTGAAATTATATTAGGCATGATTCTACTTGGACCTCAGGTTTCTAACACTTTGGGAAACTAGGAAACAATTTTTTTAGTTTTTTTTCTCTTGGTTTCAGAATAGAAATAAACTATTACACCATCCTCACTATTTTAAACTACTTTGCAATTAAAATAATTTTGTAAAATGTATAATTATAATCATGTATCTAAAAGGTTTACATGTAGAAATAAAACAATTAATAGTAACCTTTACTCTTTTTCTACAGTTAGGACATTTTAATTATGTTCTCTAGTAGTATACCAAATAATACTCTATTTGTTAAATAAACAGATCCTTATTATGTTTAGTTTATCCCAGCCCTCTTAATTAGACAAGTTTAGGTTCAATATTATATTAAGATTAATGACCAGTGAGTGTATTATACAAGCACTAGAAATACACATAAGACCTACATTATTTCTTAACGATATAATTTACTGGATCTTAGTTTGACATCACTTTCAACCTATTTGACAAGCTGCAATCCTAATGCTAAGTCATATAGTCCAGCAATCAGTTTAATTTAAAAGAAGCTTTCTGAAATAATTATGTTTAATTTTCAATTTTGTTTCAAAATGCACTCAATTGCACACTTCATTAAAGTTTTCCAACACAAAATACAAGATAGTAACAAGTGGCTGAGAGCTTCATCTTTTTGTTCTTTTCCTCCAAATGCAACTATAGTGAGTTAGAATCTAATTACTTAAGCAACAGATAGTTTTATAGATGTGCAGTCTGCATGATGTTTTAAACAATGGAAAGTATATAACAAATATATGGACAAAACACAAAGGGAGTAGGGAAACCCCCCCCCCCACCAATAATATACTTCTCTCTCATGAAAGTAACACCACTTGTTGGTGAATCACAGACAAAACCATCTCCTTCCCTCTCCCTTCTTTTTCTGCACAATGGCATTTCTGTATTAATGAGAAATTCCATTGGACAAACCGTTTGTTAAGAGTTTACTTTGCACTCTGTACTGCAGCGTTTCTTTTTAAATAGGGCAGATGAAAAACTTGACAGGACAGACACTCCAGAATACAAATAGCCAAGTGTTTTGAAATCACGCACTCTACAAACTGAGAGGAAAAACTTTTCTTGAAATAATTCCGCCAGCTGTTATAACTGCAGTAAAACCACTTCAGTGAGCCAAAAGGTGAAAGCTGTCTAATCTTGTTCTGTTTCAGCTGAATTGTTCAATAAAATTTAAGAGTCAGTGCAGAAAAGCTGCGCCAAGCCAAATTATTGACAGAAACAGACAGTCTGCCATGGCAACAAGTGGCAGTCTATAGCAAAAATGTAAGCAAACAAGCCACTTCTTCAGCAGCATCTGCCAATCCAGCATTAAAGCCAAAAGTGTGAAACTGTTACAGCTTGCCCATGTTTCAGATGTCACCAACTTTGTCAGCAAAAGTCTATATCCACCCTCACAAAGACATTGTTGCAGTAGGCCAAGTGGCATTTAAAAGTCAATATTTTATGCTAGTTAAATGCATGGTGCTTTAGAATCTTATGCATTTCTCCAGTTTTACCCTATTGTAAAAGAAAGAACAGTGAGCAAAATATGTATAAGCATTTCCATCAGTCCACATATACTTCTCTCTCAGTTTGCAAGCATTAAACTAAGAATTCAATCCTGGAACTATATTTAATACCACAGATAACAGATTTGATAAGGAGATTTTTTTTACACTTGCAGGCTGAATAGAGAAAATAGTTCCTTTGATCACGTGAGCACTTATGAGCTATCTTCTTAGGGATTAAACATGGAGATACACTAATAGACAGTCAGAGGCCACATTAGTCCCAGTAAGATATAACATGAATGTGACTTGGACAAAATCATAGAGTTAAAATGAAAATTTTAGTTGAAGAGTATGACCAGAGCTTTTTGCCCACCCAGACATAGGTTGATTGCTACTCCATTTAAGAGGAAATACACATCCATACAAACAGATGTTAAATTGTTAAACTTGTTTTCTCAAAAAAAAAACCCACTCTCACTTCTTTACAAACTTTGTTTCAAAGGTGGACCTTCCTGATTTCCAAAAGCCACTGGTCAAAAAGTTTCGTGTTCAGTTAAAAGTGTTCCAAAGTACCACCCTTAAGCTCAGGTTCTATGGAAAAGCAGATATAAACAAAACTCTAAAATGAATGGCTATATCTTTTTTAAGTCAATGTCTTACAGGCAGTTAAGGAGGATACGTTACTTGTATTTGTTTAAAAAACAAAAACAAACAAGGTACTCACAACTCAATCGGAAGGATCTTGGCTTGTCTCTGGAAGCTCTCGTCTTGAGTGAAATTCTCTAGCTACTGATGTGGGGGCAATCCTCTCTTACTGTCTCTCACTTTCTCCCTCTTTTTCTCCCTCCTTGCCTCAGTCTCTCTCTCTCTCTCTCTCTCTCTCATACACACACACTGAATCCCTCCCTCTCTCTCAGGCAGCGCTTCTCCCATTAGAGGAATTAAAATTGGTTGGTGCCATGCTAAATTTAACAAGCTCATTAGTATTCTTCCTGTGCGCTTGGTAGTGAACTCTCCCTATTCAAGCCGCTCTCTCAAGCTGAGGGGTCAGGCGGCTAATCATTAAATCAAACTAATGTCACCCTATCACAATCGGCCCTAAGAGAAGGAGGGTTTATTATTTCAGTTTATGCTAAATAAACGGTTTTACAAATGGTCTTCGAGCAAGGTCAACAGCATCTTCAATTACAAGGCAAACTTAACAAGAGTTACTATAAACCAAAGTGCTCCATATTGACTTAAGCGCAAGCTCTGCTCCACAGATTGCCACTGGCAGACTTGTACAGGAATGCATATTGTAAATTTCTCCTTCTTCTTCTTCTTTTTAAGCAAAGGGTAATCTTTTCTTTTGCCAGAATTGGTGACTTGCGTAGAGACTGCTCATTCACCTCTCCCCAACCAGCTAGCTGCTCAGCTCAATTCACCCCACACAAAGGCTGAAGACCAGACCTCAATGGACCGAGTGAAACATGTTCAAAACTAGGCTCTCTATTGTGACTGAATTTCTTAACATCTTTTCAAAAAGCGGAGAATGCCTTGAGGCTAAAGGAAGAAACAGGCTAATGGTGAATTGGGAATACTGAGCAAATTTCAGAGCCCTTTCCTCCTAGCTTTTGAGGTTGAAAGCAAGCTCTATCCTTTCAAGTTTCAAAGTCTTTTTTCCTCCCGCAGTGTCACAGAAGGATTTGAAAAGAAGGTAATTGTGCTCACAGTCTTCCTGATCAGAGCTTACGTCCTATTTCTGGTATTTCGGAATACTTCTCGCAATAATGGTGCATATAGCTCAATCCCTTAACCGGCCTGCAGTCAGCAATTGCTCATTAAATGAACAATTGCTGGTATAAAATGCCTTTTATGTTCAAGGTCTGGATATAAGATAAGCATTCTAGTACTCTAGATTTGGTTTACTAAAAAAGCACACCATCATTAAATTACTAAAATGATGGCAGAATAAGAATCCTTATAACAGTAGCACTTAAAGCTAATGCTCCCCTCCCCGAATTTAATACTAAAATGTTTAATAGAATAGATAACCAATAATGAAGAGATTTCCTATGTGTAACAAGAAGTTCTACATTTTGGAGGCAAGGTACACTTCTGAATGACAGAACAGTATCGTGACCACTTTTATTGTATGTGTGGTTTCTCATGTACCTTGATCACACATTTTTGGCCACTGTAAGAACTCACTTAACCTACTCCACCTCTTCAATTTTCCCCTTGCTGTATCTGTAGACCCTCTAAAGAAACTCTACAGTGATTACTTCTCTCAGTCTTACACAAGTTTATTGGGAGGTAATTTATGTGGAAATCAATGTAAATCTAAATAATCATGCACAGGACCAAACTATAAAGTTTATTGTATGAAGGAAAGTTTCCAGGAATATTCTTTGTTCTAGCTTCATGGATGTTTACCCTGCAAAATGCTATTCTTAATGTAAATGCTTTCAAAATGCATTCACAGAAAGGAATTAACAAACCAGATTTCCACCCCATCATGAACATATAAATCAAAATTATCATAATAGGCTAGATAGCAAACATTGGACTTTCTTTATACATAGCGCTTGCACATTGTACAAACATTCTGTGCTTTCCAGCTAGTCTATACTATCTGACCTAACAATATTAAAATGTATAGATGTATATTTTCTTTGTCAAGTATTTTCAACTTATCAGTAATTTTTAAAATACTTTTTTGTTGTTGTTGCCTTCTTTGGATTGAACATCTATAATGCCTTCGCTATCTTTTATTTTCATACCTTGATCAATGGGGAGGAGTGTATTTTGCTTTTCTTTCCCAGAACCTTTTTAAATATCTGTGGTTATAAAAGAAGAAATGGGAGAAATTGCATATTAAGAAAAGAGGGAAAGATATTCAGGCAATGGACTTGATCTTCACACTGTCTGCTACAGTAATAATTAGGTATTATCCATATTCCCACAAAACTCTAAAACATAAGTTGCAAGCATAGGGGTTCACAATCCTGTTAAAGTGGATGGGAAAAAGACAGCAAAGCTAAGAACATAGGAAAGGATGTTAATATGAATTAAGGCAATTATCTCCAAATCAAGATATCAATAGTTCATGGGATAAGATAAGTCTTCATGTTTAGCAGTCCTCCGTGCTGACCATATTATATTTCTACTTGGTCTCTTTCTCTCATCTCCTAACTGTAAAAAAAAGGAGGAAGGAAGTATTTCATACAACTTGAACTCTGTTCCAGATCACATTCAGAACTCCTTCATAATTACTATTTTCAATTTTTAAAGTCTATTTTTTTCCACATGAGACTTCACTCATTCTTCATGGTCCTTCCTCTTCATGTGTTTTTTCTTGGAATGGGGCACGTTAAATCAGGGATTTCCTTCCGCGATCCACATGTATTCTAAAAGAGTGGTGGCTATAACCTAACCATAGTACTATATATACTTTCCAGGGTCTGTTGGGAGGGAAGGAGGCGAAGTCAGAAAATAAGTAAGAAAAAGTATGAGCTCAAAAAAATGGTAGAAGTGGGGCGGGGGGTGGGGCGGAAACAACTGAAAAGCACGGCAAGTTCCTACAGTGCTGTAACGGTGGATGAAAATGAATTGGGGGTTTGGCAGCAACCTCACATATATACCAATGGGGAGAGTGGGTGGGGTATCTTTAAAATTCTACAATGTTCCAAAGATGCTCTGCACAGGTGCAGGATAAGCCCATTTGTGTGATTTACAGAAACCACAAAGAAGAATTCTTCTCCACTTCCACACAAGTGTTCAAAGACTATACTTCAATTCAACATGAAGCTGTAATAACCAACCCATCAATTCCTTGGGCAGGTTATAATAATAATAATAATAATAATTATTATTATTATTATTATTTATAACCCACCGCTTCTCACAAGAGTCATGGCAAGTGCTGATGACTGCTGGACAGACCACAGGTTAATCCGATCCACAATGGCTATCAAGATCGCCCTAAACGCAGATTCCAAGGAAGAGAGATAAGGTGCAAAATGAACACCCAAGCCCTTCAGGAGCCCTCCAAATGCGCCCTTCTCCAAACAACACTCAAGGATAATCTACTCATAGAACATCCTGAAAATGTTGAGGAACATTTGCAGGTTTCATCATCACAGCCTGCAAAGAAACCACTGGATATCAAACATCAAGATTGATTTGACAAAAATGACAATGAGATTCAAAAATTAATTGATAAGAAAAGCAAATCCTTCCAAACATGGGACCAACTGCACTGCCGGTGCAAAAGCTGAGGTCCAAAGAAGGACCAGAGAACTCAAGGACATCTGGTGGGCAAAGAAAGTTGAAGAAATCCAACACTTTGCAGATGCCCCTGATGCTCAGGGATTTTTTTAAAGCCACAAAGGTAATCTACAGACCAAGAAATCATGGCATACTCTCATCAGATGGAACCAAACTTCTGAAAGACAAAAAATCAATTGGAAAGAGCACTACCAAAACCTCCTGAATTGCTGCTCCAACATGGCTGAAGAGGTTCTCTCACAAATCCCGTAACAATAAACCAGGGATGAGCTTGCAGCACTGCCTAGTTTGGAAGAAGTCAGCGACACCATCAGCCAAGTAAAAAATAACAAAGCCAGCGGACCTGATGGAATCCCTGCTGAAGTCTTTAAAGAGGGTGGACCTGAGCTAACACAACTCCACTAGCTCATTGAGGGTGTGGATGACTGAGAAAATTCCAGCAGACTTCAAGGATGCCACCATCATCACCCTTTTCAAAAAAGGAGAAAGAACAGTCTGTGGAAACTATCAAGGTATCTCCTTTCTAACCTCCGCAGGGAAAATCCTCACAAGAATCCCTGCAAAACATCTTCTACTTGTCTCAGAAGATAACCTCCCAGAATCCCAAAATGGCTTCTGCCCCTCCAGAGGAACAGTGAACATGATCTTCACTGCATGACAGCTCCAAGAAAAATGCAGGGAACAAAATCAACCTCTGTACATAGCATTCACTGACCTTGCAAAAACATTCAGCATAGTGAATCACAGTGCCCTCTGGACCATCCTCCAAAAAATCGGGTGCCCTGACAAATTGGTGAACCTGCGGCTCCTCCACTATGACATGATGGCAACAGTCTTGGACAGCAATGGCACCCAAAGTGATCCATGTAAGGTGGAATCAGATGTCAAACAGGGATGTGTTATTGCCCTAACTTTATTTTCCATCTTTATCACTATGATACTTCATCTTGTTGATGGGAAGCTTCCCACTGGAGGGGAAATTATCTATCAGACAGATGACAAGCTATTTAACCTCAACAGACTGAAAGCCAAAACCAAGGTCACAACAACATCCATTATAGAACTCAAATATGCTTATGACAAAATAGTCCATGCACATTCAGAAGAAGATCTACAAGCCATTCTAAACACCTTCGCAGAAGCTCAGCCTGTCATTGAACATCGAGAAAATCAAAATGCTCTTCTAGCAGTCACCAGCCAATCCCTCTCCAATGCCAGAAATATAGCTTAATGGTGTAACATTAGAAAATGTTGACCAGTTCCATTACCTTGCCAGCCACCTCTCTACAAAATTCAACACTGACACCAAAATACAACACTGCCTGAGCTCTGTGAGTGCAGCATTTTTCTGATTGAAGCAGAGAGTGTTTGAGGACCGGGACAGCATCCCCTAAATTGATCTTTAAAACCTTCATCTTTAAAAGGCTGCCTGAATAGAAAGGTTTTAGCTGTGTCACCAGAAAGACAGCAGGGAGGAGGCCATTCTGGCTTCCCTGGGCAGGGAGTTCCAGAGTCGAGAAGCAGCCACTGAGAAGGTCCTGTCCCTTGTTCCCACCAACCAAGCTTGGAATTCAGGTGGGGCCGAGACAGAGTAGGGTGTTATAAGTATTTTTTTTATAAATTTGTTAAATTTTAATTTATATCCTAACCTAATGTAAGCACTGCACTGATGTGGATGGATGGAATAAAGGTTAGGATATTGTGAATGGTAATTTAGTCAGCAAAGTTATGACCATTACATTTCCATTTGCCATCGTTAGTTTCAGAGTTCTTCAGAAATATGACCAGAAATTATTGTTAGCACCAACATAGGAATGGAACAATGGATGACGAATCTGGATCATGTTTTAGTTATGAGACGCCAGTGAATGGTTACTGCTGTTAATTGTTTAATGTGTTTATGATGTTAATTGTTTTTATATAACGTGTTGTTGTAGCATTGGATTTTTGCTGTTCTGTTGTTAACCGCTGTGAGTCGCCTAAGGGCTGAGAACAGCGGTATACAAATAAAGTAAATAAACAAATAAATAAATAAATAAATAAATAACTAGAGCAGTGGTTCTCAACCTGGGGTCCCCAGATGTTTTTGGCCTACAACTCCCAGAAATCCCAGCCAGTTTATCAGCTGTTACGATTTCTAGGAGTTGAAGGCCAAAAACATCTGGGGACCCCAGGTTGAGAAGCACTCAACTAGAGTAAATCAATTGAATCAATGGAGTTACAAAAAGTACAGAGGGCCAATCTATCACAAGTTCAGGCAAGGGCAGTGGGGGATCAGCCTGGTCATGATGACGTCCTGAAAATAGATCCCTTCCTAGGTGCTAAGTCAGATGGGAAACTCGGCTGTATAGAGCTATACA